TATCTCCACTTTATAGACATTATTAGCCAAAGTCAGAAATCCAAATCATATCTATTCTTGAAAAAGATCTATGTCTTTCAGAAAAATAAGTATATTCTTTTGAATTTCCATTTTTATGTCTCCATGCATCAACAAGCATGCGTGCTCCAAATTATTCATTAAATAAATTTTAAAAAAAGTTGGTAATTTATCCTGTCTTATTGTAATATTTTTCTCAGAAGTTCTATCTTTTTATGGGGAAACCACTCCATTCCAGTCTCACAGGAGACATCAATTTTCATATGTAAAATCCAAAAGTTTATCCACAATCTTTTGTAAAATGCTGTTTTATCTTTATTTGGGGCATAAATTCCCAAATAAGGGAATTTATGCCCCAATAAGCTCAAAGTCTTAGCCCCCTATGGAGTAACTTCCACCCCAACATATATGCTATAATCATCAGTCAGTATAAGTTTTGGATATAGCTGGGGGTTTATATACAAAACAACTCAATTTTTTCCCAATCCTGCTGAAATAAATTCCTCTCCCAGATTTTTGTGACTTAAATATTTTACATTTTTTTTCCTAATATGTGTTTCTTGTAGACAAATCACATCTTGTTTTAACTTTTTCAAAGAGTGATTTTTTTTTCTCTTTTGAGGGGCATATGCCCCATTTATATTCCACATTAAGCATTCATAATCCATAATTAGTCCAAGATTTTGGAAAAGTCAATACCTGTAGCACCCAACATGGAATCTTCTTCAGTGTCTTGAATCTGTTGTGGCACTTGTTTAGTCTCATCTGTCATTATCCCTTCCTTTTTTGTCTCCACCAGTTCTCTAAATTTTTTCAAAAAAGTCTCTTGCTTTCTGCACAATTCAACCTAAATCTCTGTTGTTTAAAACTAAAAATCACCCCTTCCAACTTGTCCCACCTAAATGGAATTTCTTCTGTTTAAGTTTGTCAGAAAAAAGTACTCTTTTCTCTTGCATAGTATTCTAATTGGGATTTCCTTAAGTACAGTTATGTCTGTATTATCAATCCTCAGTCTAGTATTAAAATGCTGCTGTAGAACTTGGTCTTCTTCCTGACAAAGTGCACAAGGACATCCCTTGGAACATTTCTTAATTTTGCAAAACACGTATTGATCCTATATACCTTATCAATCTTTGTATCAATATCATCATCCTTCCAGTCCAAGAAATCAGACAGATTTAGCAATCTTTTCTCTGATGTCTTCTCCATGTTCTTCTGGAATTACTCTTAATCTTAAGCAGAATTCTTTTTCTCTCAGTTCCAATAACGTCAAATTGTCCAAATCCTCCATCTCTCTATTTATAACTTGTCTTGCTTTCCAAAACTTCCATTTTGTCAGTAATTTGTTTTAAGTCTGCAGCCAGTTGCCCTACAGATTCTTCAATTTTTTTAACTACTTCTTTCAAATCTTTTTTATCCCTGCAAATCCTTCTTCCACTTCCTTTTTAACTGTTGCAGTCATCTTTTTGCCAAATTCTTCAAACATTTTCTGCAGTAAATCTGGTGAAATACCTTATCTGTAATTTGTTCTAGTGAACCCTTGCGCCCTTCCCCCAGCTTGGCAGCTTTCCTTGTGGTTGCCATGGTGAGAAAGTGAAAGTATGCCAATTACTATGGTGAAAGTAAAAGGCAAGCTCCCCCCCCCCTGTTTCGCTTCTCTCTGTTTTTAACATTTTAGTCCCAATTGGCTTTCTGTAGTCACAGTCATACAGTCTAGCTCATATTACTCTTACCTTCTTGTTTTATAAAATCCACCAATTATTACTGTCCTTAAAAATAAACAATCAACATTCCCACAAGGGTCCGGTCTGTTAGTCTAATTAATTTTACTATTTTCAAAGGTACTTTTATCAGAAAAAAAATCTTCTGTTTTTTTTTTTAATCACTGTTCCCCTTGTCCATTTGAAACTTTATGTCGGGCCCAGCCCAAGAACAACAGTGAAACAGTCCAGTCCAATACAGTTCCTTTATTAGCTTACACCTTATAGACAGATTCTTGCCAAACTAAATCTATACTACTGCAACTAGTGGATATACCCTGGGAGATTCTAGGAAGTGGCTATCCTGAACCTCTTTCGCTTCCCACGCTCCTGTTGTGGACTCAGCTGCCTCTTGCCTCCTCCTCTCTCCTGGAATACACCCCCTCCTTCCCGATTGCCTTGATCTCCCACATCACTCTCCTCCTCGTAGATACATTCCATCACACTTATATCACAGCCTTGTTAATCTTTCTGCTTTTAAATTAAAATTCTTTAAGATAGCGTTTTTTCTCCTCTCCTTAATTTCAAAAAGAAGGCAGTCACCGAGAGTTTTTCATTTTCTCTGCCGTTTGGAATATCTCTCTTAGGTTGTAAAGCAATTGAATCGTAAAGTGTTTAAGAAGGTAAGGCTTTTGCCAGTCAAACGTCCATAAAGACTACATAGCCATTTAGGGCACACTGTAAATACCTTGACTCTAAAGCTGCTCAATCCACGATTGACCACAATAAACTAAATTCCTGCAGCCTTCTCATGAGGAGCAGCTCTTCCAGAGCACAAGTGGGTGATCCCTCAATTTCTCCTTCCTCTGGAGAAATTTCTGTCAGCCAGAACTATCTCCTGGTTGGTAATTTCACTACTATGCTATCTCTACTTGCAGACCCACTTGCAGAGATGTCTAACCAGCCATAACACCTCACCCAGAAGCCTGGCAGTAATTTACATTATCTTTATATGCATGCACATATCCAGAGCCTTCTCAAATCTGGTGCCTTCCAAACATACACCTCTGACAGTCTCATTACTCTTAGTCTGCTGCCTGGGCATGATAGACCATGTACTTCAATATATCTAAAGGTTACCAGAGTGCAGAAGTTTGCTTCATGGTATGACAGACTCCTTCATGTATGTTGGACAGGGTGTTGCCTATTTATTTTCAATCTCAGAATATGGCTGAGGAAATCTGTTAACAATTAGACAGTGGTGGCTTCAGTAATGCATGGGCCAAACAGCTGTACCCCTTCTTTGCAAATACCCTATGCAACTACTGGAAACATAGGAATCCTTCTTATATGGTATCACTTACAGTCCTTTTCTTGCTAAACATGCATATATAAAACAAACAAAGCCTCTTCCATCATTCATTGCTTTCTACATACAGATGGAGTTGAAAAACCATATAGTCTGGTCCATCCTATAATGGTTCAGACCCGTCGCCCTGTTATGCTTTCACCTGGATGCTTAGCTCCTCTGCTCCTAAGGAACCTTCTGGACCTCCCTTCTTCAAATCAGGATTTCTGCTTCATCCCAACAGGTAAGCTAGAATAGCTGAATGCCCTGGACCAGGATTTCTACCTCAGGGTCATTCCAGAAAGTGAACTTCTGAGTTAAATAATTTTTCTTTCTTAGCAGGAAGCACATAAGCAGTCTCTGCATTCTGCATCTTGAAGGGAAGCAGAGAAAGCCTTTGAATGGGGCCTTTTGTATTTCAGTTTCATGCTTTCTGTTTCCACAGTGTAGAAAATCAATAGTTTGGGCCAGAAAAAACAGAATTCTGAGATACTTCATTCATTTATAGAAAATAAAACCCAAACCAGCCCATTTGAATGCCCTGTGAGATTGCAGCAAAAAAGTGTGCTGTTTTGAGAGCTTCACCTGCTAACGCTGTAATTTTTTGCATGGCAGGTTTTTGCATTAGGCTATGTTGAGATAATATTCAGACTGCATGTATAATAAGGACACAGGAAACTCTTTCTGAGAGCAGGATCCCTGGATATGTCTGTAAGAAAAATGGCTTTCTGCTCATAGATCGTCTTAGCAAAAATATTGGAAATTACTGTGTGGTAGAAATTCTTTGTCTAGACTATCTTGCCTTCTGTCAACTTCTGTCTAAGTAGCATTCTTCTACTGCTACTATCTTTTTTGCTGTCTCTCTCAACACATGCTTCTTTCCTTCTCTGGTGACAGTGTGGGAGAAGAAAGGGAGTAATCCTTTGGGGGGGGGGGAAACAAGCTAATAAATATACTGTAATCTGCAGTTCATTTCTTTGCAGTCACAGCAAATGCTAAAGATAACAATGCTATCCTCTTTGCTATTTCTTCTGAGTCCCTGTGTTTTCTTAGAGGAATGCTTTGTATTTGTATGCTGTGTGACTTGCTATCTTACAATGCAATAAGGATATTATCCCATCGCTTGCATTGTAAATTTTAATATCTGTCCAGTTGACCTGATGTGGGAAGATGCCATTTTGTCTTTTGCTTCAGATAATAAAATGTCTCAGGCTAACCCGATCTTTTGCATCTTTACTTAGTTCTAGTGTTCAGCAGACTCTACTCCAGACTGCAGGATTAGGTTTTAATCCTCTGCATACTTAATGGGGAGTAAATGCCATTAAATTCAGTGGGATTTATTCTGATTAAAGATGCAGAGGAGGATTGAGGCTGACTGTCTTAACTTATAACTTAGAAGCTTTTTGTGGCATTCATTCCATGCTTCTTAGCCCTTTTTCCCCTCCATATGTTTTACTATCCATCTTTTGTGGTTACCTCCTCTCATAGATAACCTTGAAAAACAAAGAGGATTCTCTGCCTCTTCCAAGAATGATGTTAATGCCGAGAGGCTCTCTCAGAGTCAGAGGGACCGTGGGATGATCCACATGATCCAAGAAGCTATTAAAAAAGTAAGGAAATGGAGCTCAGCAATTTCCACTGCTGAGAGGTGGTGATGGATTTTATTTATTTATTTATTTATTTATTTGTTAGATTTATATCCACCCTTTGTTCAGGAGCTCAAGGCAGTGAACACAGTGCACACACTTCCCATCCACAACAACAAACCTGTGAGGTAGGTTGGGTTGAGGGAGAATGACTGTCCTAAAGCCACCCATTGAGGACCTATGGCTGTGTGGATTAGAACCAGTGCAACACCTTAACCACTGGCTCTGAGTGTTATATAGGCTTGCTTTAGAGTGAGAACTACATAAATTAAAGAAACAAACAAACCACCTTTTGCTATAATGCTGCTTGTGCTAAATGCTATTAAAAAATCTGTAGAGCTGGAGGCATAATGTCTGTTGCAAATTTAATGTAATGAAAAGATTGATGGCCCATAGGCCCTTCTCTGGTAGATTAAAAATGCAAGATCAGTGAAATAGACAACAGAAGGTATAAAGCAGCCTTCTCCAAGTATGCCTTTCAGATCTGACAACAGTTCACATAATCCACCAACCATCTCAGGGATGCTGGTTAAGGAAGATTAATATAAGCTTATCTGAATAGAGAAAACCAAGAAGATTTTTTTCCCTGTGTGAATAGGAGAGAAATGTGGTTCAGTCTCGGACAACCTTACAGCATTCAGTCAATAAAACTGAATGAAGGTAACAAATAAAAGGATTGATAACTATTTGTGGCAGGGATCTTATGGTTCTGAGAGCAATTTAGCAAGCAAAAATTTATTAGGATGAAGCTATCCCAGCTTGCTGGTATGAGAATTGAGAACATTTATCGTGCTTAAAATCCTCCTATTGAGTGCCTGATACATGAAATTAAATAAAAAGCATAGGAATGTGGGCAACTACTTTGCAGAAGTTCAGTGAATTCCTATTAAGTTGTGCCTGGTTGCTGATTTGTGAGTGAGAACCAGCACTGCTCAGATCATGATTTCATCTTGCTAATTCTTTCTTACATTCTCTGACCTTTTTTGAGCTTGTGGGACATATACATCTGTGAGAATATTTAGTCTTCACATAACTCAGAAGACACTTTGTTCCTGAAAGAGTCTGAATCCTACCTAGACATGTTAGATACCCAGTCTATTATATCAGCTGGCTCTGCCCTTCGGTTCTTTCTCTTTCTTGTAAGTTGGTTGTAAATTCCATCTTCTAATGGAATTACTATTGGAAAAGCAATGAGATTTCATACTATGGTGTTTGATTTAATATAACTTGCCAGAGATAGGTTATGTCTTTTCCATTTGAATTACTAAATCTGTTGAATTTCCTCACAGAACCAACACTGTCTGCTGGAGCTGGAGGTCCAGCTGGTAAAGGACCTAATTAAAAGTGAAATATACCCCATCATTATCCATGTTAAAGTCACTGAGAAGAAGATCAAAGGAGTCAGGTATGAATAAAAGCCCTTCTCAGAATTGGAATGTGGGTGGAAAGGGATACTTTCTTCCCAAATATAAGGCAGAGATGTGGACTGGAAGAAAAACTGCTATACAACGAGAATCATAGCAGGGATGGATAGACTTTAATCTTGTAGGATCTACTTTATTTTTACTAAAACCCTGAGTTCCACTAAGAAGACTTTAGAACAAAGGATGTATACTAGATGGATGCTAGAAAAAAAATCTGCATACCAAACTCATTCTGCCACCTAAATAAATAAATATATAAACATCCATTTCTGATTACCCCCAAATACCTGTCAATCTGTTACAGATCACCAAAGATCTATTAGATTCAAATCAATATTCTACTCCTCTCCCCCCAAATCCAACCTTAACCAATTTATAGGGCTTGTTTGAATGACTGCTGTATTGGTTGCAGGTGATGGAAGTTCTCAATAAATATGAGTTGAAAATATAGCATACTGATACTGTGCTAGTTGTCAACTCTACATATTCAAGGAGAGCTTCCATCTTCTGCAACCAATACAATCAGAAGTGATCAGGAAAGTTTTCAGGAGTAAGACCCACTATAGTCAATGGGCTTAACATCCAAGTAAGGGTGAACCCCAAATAGTGGTGTGAACTGAACCCCAAATAGTAACATTTGACTATCTACCATAGACTCTGGCATTTAACCTTCAGTTTCATGGATTAATGTGGGAAGGTCCTTTAAATGGTATTTTATGCATGAATGAAAATACAAATACAATATCATATGCATGAAATATACAAAAATGTACAAGCCATGTCTGGACTGATTCACCAAACAACAGACTTTCAGATGTTTAGGCAACTTACTGCCAACAGGCTTGATTTTCTAGTATGTGTTGTGATGGCAGGAAGGTGGATCATGATGGCTGTGAACCAAATATTTCTGACAAGGAAGACATTCTGATTTCTGTATTCAGCACAAAACACTTACAAAAACACCTGGCTTGGAGGTTTTGGTTTAATATGAGTATAAATCCAGAAGTGTAGCTTAAGAAACTGTGGTTAAGCAATTGATAAGTTAGCATGAAGTATGAATCTAGCCAATGAGTAAAAGAGCTAGATTTTCTTGGATGATATATGACTCTCCTTACCTGTTGTCCAGAAATTGCCACCTCAACAATACGTGTTTTGTATGGTTTATTTACAGTTACATGAAAGAGCACTAAGAAACAGTTGGCTTAGCTAGAGATCTGAATGAACTAATATTGATTTTATATGACTATCCCTCCCTGTTGCCAGTTCTCCCTGTAATTTTTTTCTAGCATCAATGATGTGGAAATGTTTTAATCTCTATGTTAGAATGCACCCTATATAGGAAATAAAAAAATAGTTTTATCTCAAGCTAGACCATTGATCCATCTTGCTTAGTATTGGCAACACTGACCAGCACTTTCCAGAAATTTAAATGCACCTCTCTTGCTTGGGGCATATGTTCTATTACTTAGCTAAGCACCTCCCCAAATATATCATGAATGACCAGGCTTCACTGATAGTAAAAAAACATCCTCTTTGGCTTTTTCAGTATTTGACTTATCTGAGCTCCTAGAATGTCTGCCCTCAGCTATTATTGTTGAACTACAATATTATTGTAATTTGTAATATTGTACTAATGCAATGGTTGGTGCTAACAACAACCAAAGGATTTGTTTGGTGGCCCATCTGTCAAGCCATGCAAGGCTGGCAAACTCAGGAAACAAGAATTACTTGCATTTATGTCAGAAGTGGAGTTGTTTTGAATTTCTTTCTCATGCTTCCCCCTTCTCTTGGGCTAAGGAGTCTCTTCTGTAACAGCCCTGTTTTCTGTTTGCTTTCCTGGGGCCTGTTAGACATTCATCACACCATCAGTTCTTGGAATTAGAACATTAGACTTAAAATATGCTTGACCAAACCTATATCAGCAAATATGTTATCATAGTCTCTAAAAGAGTACATGGTTAGTGCTGCATTTCTGTTTTATGTTCTTTCTAGGAGCCTATTAGGGAAGCCAGGGCAGCGAGATTCTGAGGTCCTGAAGAAATGTCAAAGAGATGAATGGGTTCTCCATACCTTACCTTGTTCATGGGCCTGGGTAGATCCTCACTCCTGGAGCAGTGCAGAGGAACTGGTAAAGGTGGTACGGGCCCACATCTTCCAAGAACAAACCAGGATAGTGTGGGTTGAGGAGAGTGATGTGTGATAGGTGATGCTGAAGAAAAAGGCTGACACTTTGGGTTCACTGCATGAAGAAGAATGGCCTCTGCAGGACAGAGGCATGGGCTCTATGACTCACCAATATTGTCTTATATTTGCCATTTACCCCATATAATTGGACATTTGGTGTATCTGGCATGTTCATGATCTGGGTCGTTTCTTTTTTTTTTTTTAAGCCACAAAATTGTGGTTGTGGTGGGGAATGAATGAATAAATAAATAAATCTAAATAAAAGGAAACCCTGGATAAAACTATTGATTTTGGTTTTGCTCAGTTTTGTACTTTTTAGCTATAATTTTATCCACTTTAGTTTGTAATTTTAATATGCTTTACAAACATATATGTAAACATCTTCTGTGTTTGTTTTTGGTAGACATATTTTTGCAAGTCTTTCTCCATAATATATTTTACATGAAAATTATATATACTTTTGTACATAGTTTTTCAGTAGATAATCAAATTGGAGAACCATATTGAAAAATATGGAGAACCATATTGAAAAATATGGAGAAGTGCAAATTCAATATAAAATTGCATTTTGATTCTTGCATTGATTCAACATGTAGCTGATATTGGCTGATCTTGAATACCTAAGCAGAGATAGATAAAAGACCATGAGAAAATCCCAGGGCTATAAGCTACTCTGGGAATTTAAATAATTTTTTTTTAAAATCCTGAAAGAAGGCAATGACAAACCACTTCTATAGTGCTGCCAAGAAAACTACTTGAATATGTCAGTGAAGTCGCTGGAAGTAGAACCAGTTCAGGAAGTTTGCATTAACTTGCATTAAATTTGCACAATGAAGCTTGCATTAGCCTGGGCATTTAGAAATTTCACTATTCTTCTCTGATTACCAAGGATGATTCTTCTCTGATTACCAAGGATGATTCTACCATTAGGCAGAGTAGGGCTTCCTTTCCAAGGAACTAGCTTAAGGTATCATAGAAATCTAACAAGCTATAAATAAAATATAAGTATCCAATTTATTGTTTTACTTTTGCTATCAAGAGATGAGCTTGAGATTTTTTGCCTCAAGCGCAAAGAAAAAGAATAGGTACTGGATATTAATGCATCTTTATTTAGGGAGATTAGGAGATATTTACTGCACTACCTCAGATAGCAAAATCTCTCGTTGAGTAGGATGTATGTTGTGCCATGTTGATGAATAGTTGAGGCAGAATTATCTGCTTTATTTGGCTGATCTGCCTTGTGAATGAAGGCATTGTTGCCTAGTGAATCAAAGTCACTGTTCCACTGATTAGAACTGCTTCAGAGAACACTTCAGAGGGCTGCTTTAGAGCATAAACAAGATGAAGATGATCTTGATGGAAATATGCAGGAACTGTTACCTAGGCAAAAGGGCTGAAACAATGAGAAACAATTCAGAAGCGGTTCAGGCCTGATCCTTATACTGGAGTATAAGAAGGGGGAGGAGATACAGCACAATCAGACTTGCAAGATTGTTATTATAGTCAATCTCAATAAAAATGGTTTTAGCTTTCCTGTGGAGTTGATTTCCACAGTAGTTGACTAGTGGGACTGACAGATGCTTTGCTGGATCTCTGTTGAAGTGAAGCACCCCTTCAAAGAACTATGCAGAGCCTTAATCTTTTGGGCTGACCCTGTAGGCTTCTATTCAGCTCTCCCAGATTCTCTCTTCATCTCCCATGTTCTCTATGATGCTTAACTCTTCCTTCACTTCAACAGAAATGCATGTTTAGGTGTTTGTGAGATGGTTATGCTGGAGGACATGTATGTATTGCACTGCATCCACACATTTCAACAGGCAGTGGCCTTCAACTGGAGCAAAAATAAGTGAGCTTGAGAGACAATTTTTTTATTATGCACTTTACAGTGCATAAATTATTCATGGTCTCCTTTTTCTCATGACCTGATGCAAAATAAAACAGCATTTGCAGTGAAAATGAATTGTTCATGGTTGTACAAATTAGGAAAAGCATAACACAACTAAGGTTAAAGGAAGTTAGAGCTGCTCAATAATCTCTTGAGCAAGAGTTGCATTGCCCTGTTTTTCTTTAATTTGTTTCATAGATTCTTCTAGGATTTACTGGAGCTACTGCATTTCTGCTACTCAGATTCTGAGGGGTCAGTGGCATGATTCTCTGTGTAGATAGAGGCAGAACAGAAGAGTCTGAAGAATATGAACTTCATTCTTACTCTGGTCTACTGTAAAATAAGGACAGTCATGGCTTGGTGTGGCCACTAAGAATGATATTTAAATCTGTACAGATCAATTGCTGGAAGTACTTTGCACAAATCATGTAACTATTTAAAACACCTTTTGGGCTGAGGAAGTGATCTTTAGAAAAGAGAGAAAGTTGCTTCACAAGAAATGGGACTCTCCCTGCCCCTCCCCCACAAACAAAAAATTAAAAAGAAGGGAAACAGCAGAAAGCAGAATAAGAATTTAAGCAAAATACAGAATTGGAGCATGCACATTTTGACAGCACAGTTTTTACCTTCAGGATTTTAATTCTGCAAAGTGGTCAGAGAGGGTAGGAAGCACAGAGCAAAGGCAGTGTTTCTCAAATGGGATGCTCAAGTATCTGCCTATTTATATGCCCCTGTTAACAATTTTTAAGCATTCTGGCCCTTCAGCTTCATCAGTGCTGTTATACGCAGGATGTTATTCCTTTCTGAAGGCCCTGGATCTGTGCCAAATGTAGATGTCCTCTTAGCCTTCAGATTGTTATTTCACAGGGAATGATATTTAGGTGTTGAATCTGGAGGTCCCCGTCATACAGAAAAGCAGGAAGGCCTTGAGTTCTGCTCTTGGCTGGTTAACTATATTGTCTTGCAGGCTGACCATGTGAAACAGCTCTAGTTCTCTTTGTATAAGGAGATCTGCACGCAGGTGTACTTTGTATCCATGGGAAACCATTTTCTAACATTTGCATATGCACTGTACTTCAAATGCTTCTTCCCCCATATTGATAGACCAAAAAGTCCAGGAAGCCTTAGTCAGCATTTGAGGGCTCAAAGACTACATAATTGATTTTCTAGCAGCTGGAATAAGAGTTTAGTATCACTTAATAAAAGTCATAGAAGACAACATGAAAAAATAAATGTCTTCCATAGTTAGACAAGCACCTTCATTAACAACAAAAATAAAACTATTGTTCAGGTGATTTTTTTCTCTCCTCCCTTCCCCTCCTGTGCAGACTGCATTTTCCAGTTCCACCAATAGTTTAATGGCATTAATCCTGGCTGTGTTTTTTGCCTGAAATTTTGCCAATAATTGAAGAATTCATGGTCTGAATGCATAAGGCCTCAAGTTCAGTCTCAGGTGGGGACTTTGCAATCTGAACTTTGCTTAGGTATATTTACCATGCTGGCTGGAGTGATGGGAGTTGTAGTTGATCAGATCAATTGATCAATCCTTGGTTTTGAATAAGGTAGCCCCTTGTGTTTCTAACTGTAATTCTACTGTTGACTGTGGTTTATTTCATTTAGAATCAGATCAAAAGATATGGCACTCTAGGAAAAATCAGAGTTGGCTTTATGTTTGTTCTGTGGTCTGCAACATTCCACTTCTCTTCCTTGTCTGAGCTTTGAAACATAAAGCCAGGCTGTATTGGGTTGCATCATGCTGGAGAGAAGAATGCATGCCTTTTCCTAGTTTTGGTCACATACATGTTTCAGTCCTGCATCTCAGTGCCTTAGTTGGCAGATTTAATTTGTTTTAAAATGCTTATACCTCTTTTCTTAATCACTCAGCGTGGCTCATATATAATAATACAAATAAAAATCAGGAGCAGATCTTACTGTAGATGTAAATTGCATCCAGATTAAGCACCAAAACTTGTTGGATAATAAAGCAAATCCTTAAAAGCCCAATGAAAAAGGGACTCTGGCATATTAGTGCCAGAATGTCAGTGCCAGAGCAGAAAAGATCTTACTACTTCCAATGAAACTTAATAGTAGTGCTATTATTGTAGGCAGAAGTTCAGGAACCCAATTAGAATACACAGGAGGATTTTTACCCATGACAGGGCTGACTTGCCATAGTCTGAAGTAATGGAAGGAATAAACATTACTTGCCTCATGAATGGGTCTTAAGACCAGTGAATCCAGAGCATTAAATTACATAAATATACCAACATCTTTTAAAGGGAAGGGAGCTCTTAAAGGGATAAACGTATGGCCTAGATCATGCCTCTCCAGGTACAAATTGAATGGTACTGAGATGTTAGTTGTGAATCCATGCAGCTTTGCTGAATCAGGCTAAATAAGCAAAAGTTTTCTTTTAATTGCACAAAGAGACAGGCTGCAGCATCCTGCACAAATTTGCTTTTCCAGACAGTCTCCAAGTGTTGCTTTTCTTAAAGTACCCCATGGCATTCAACCCCTGAGTCTACCAAAGCATGGAAGATAGTAGTTAGAGTTTGACTGGGAAGATTTGAAGGATATTTACTGTAGCAGTGAGAATGAAGAATCCAGATGATTTTGTGCTGGAAGAGTGATATAATAATAATTTATTACTCACTTAAACAACTAGATGCTGAACAATCAATAAAGAACAATACAGTAAATGGTCCCAGCAATAGGCTTGTTCTCTGTAAATCAAATAGGCAGCAGATGCACTAAATTACCAGCATTGGTAGTAGACCCAAACAGGCTTCTGGCTCCAGGTCAGTTCCTCTACAACACGCATCTGCAAATGCCAGTGGATGTGGGTGCACACTGCTGTGTTCTCTGAATCCTAGGAATAAATGCCAAGGGTACAGTTAAGGGGTACCATTTAATCATATTTATGAGTGTTCTACATCAGTCAAGGAAGACGTATTACTGCAGGAAACTCCAGGGAGCTGTTGATGTTCTTTACTTACTTTGAGTTACTATGCATTTTCCATTCACACAATCAGCTAGTTTGGGGTTCACTCTGATTTCCATTTTCTTAATTCTCAGCCTTATTTTTAAAACATTATTTTCTGACACAGGTGGTAAGAAGCATACTGATATGCCAGCCAATTCAATCAATTCTGGGGAGAAGCAGTGATGACAGCTATATACCTACAAAATTAGGTACTGAGAAAAAGCCACTATGTGAACTATGGTGTGGTACAAAGTCCAACACAATCCACCTAAGAATATTTGGTTGCAGGGTCTACATATACTTGCCAAATGAAAAATGCTTAAAGCTGAGTGACATAGCCACAGATGGGAGGATGATGGGATACAGTAAGATGAATCACGGAAAAGTGAAG